CATGCAAAAAAATAAGAAATCAGGAAGGGGGCAAACACTTTTTCACATAACTGTATATATATTAGAGCGAGAGAGAGATTCATTTAGATATTGATATGAGAACATAGATTAAAGAGGGATAATCTCTCATCACCTCATTTGCTAGCAGTGTTAGCATGTTGTGATGATGAACCGTTGTGATGCCACCAGGGCAGAAAAGATTAGCCAGCTCATAATGAAAATAATGACTGAAAATATGCTCCCGTTAAAATAAGCTTTGTGGAAGGAGAAGGCTTCCGCAAGCTGATGGCTTCTGTTGAGCCAAAGTACAATCTACCATTGCGACGAACAACTACGAGAGTGGAGAAGATGTTTGAGGAAAGTTAGCTGCTTTGGGACTAAAAAGCAGTTACATCAGACATCAGTAACTTTGCTGACAACCAGTGCCAATTTAAAATAAATTTAGAAGTAAGGGATGCATTAAGTGCAAAGTTATAGTTGAATATTTTTCCTCCTGGGGAAGGTATGGACATAAATGAATATTGATGAACTGAAGTATTACTAAATCATTTGTTTTTTTTCTACACAAAATTAAATGAGTAATTCTCCAAACAACGTTAACTATCTGCAGCTTTATATTCAAATTGTCCCTCGTAATGCATCCCATGTCCCATGTGTATACCTAAGACATCCAGTTGAGTCCAATATGATTCATTGTTTAATAGTTCCTATGTGTCTAAAAAGCAAACAAACATGAATGACTCATGTCTGCCAGAGAGCATAATTCAAGCTAACTGTACCATAAATTATTGTAGATATATTAAATGCACACATGTGTTTAACTCCAAACATGACCACCTCTGCCTCAGTCATTCAGCTCTACTTTGTGTTTTGTGCATAACTCTTCGTTCAGTGTGTAAATCACTTTACACAGACAAAGTGCCATCTTGTCTGATGGTGTAAACACGAGTTGTAAACATCATCAATACCATCCATAACTTTGATAAGAAGGTTGGATAACTAATCCCTGAGCACAGTATCTTATTTCTAGATTCTATTTTTATTTTTTTATGACCTGCCTCAAAAAACACATGCATACTTTGTTTTAATGGAGTTATGACATCATCTTCCCTGTTCTCAGTCTTTTTTGCTAAACTATGCTTAACGTATCCCAAACCTTCTGTAGATGAGATGGACCCCCATGAGGCAAATCAAAAGGTGAGGTTATTTATTGCTGTAGTGTTGATAAGGAATTTATTTTAAATAAAGCATTTTTTGTGCTAATTCCACATTGTCCATCTTCCCTCTGCCTGTTGAGTGACACATTGTCGCCAGGAGCAGATCACCTCACAGCTATGGCAAATATCTCAAAACGTAATGTGAATGGATCTCCTTGGCAGCTTTTGAGAGCTGACCAAAGTGACTCATATTTCATACTGAAGGAAATTTATAGATTGTCACGTCAGCACTTTTCCTCCACATTCTCGCTCTCTTTAATCGCTCATTGTGGACCAGACACCAGATGGGGGCAAAAACAAAACACCAAGAGCCGTTTTGTCATCCTTCACAACTGCCATCCCCAGAACAAATGGTGGCTTCAGGTGTTATCAAACAAGAAGCACACAAGCCAAGGTGACTATTTTTTTTATTAATGCTACGGATCAGACGGGGGACAATAATAAAGCCTCAAATGCTGGTGTTGTTTGCTGAAATGCCTCCAGGCTGCCCTTAGGGGGGCATGTCAAACAGGGCTGCTGGAATCTCATCACAAAGCCTGATCTTACCAACACTGCTCTGCTGTCACTCGCACCCATTAACACATGGCTCTGTTAGAGGACTAACTTAGAGTCAGAATGATTACATCAGTCTCCTTTGTGTGTCCACACGCAAATAATTTCAGTTTATTTCTTGTAAAGATCTCCGTCCGAACAAGATCAGCCAAACAATGTGTAAATCTATTCTTTCTCCTTTAGTCGGCAAAAACAAAATGTGTTCAATAATCATTTACGCGGATATTCAGTTTACTAACAATGTTCAGGCATCAATAAATGACTTATTTAAACCAATTTGTGCCGTCCACGTTCACATATAAATGTTTCTTATGGCTTTAGGCTGATTGGTCTTACGATGAAGCACACTGGACGGATTAGACACCACTACACCCTGAGTAATATACATATCTGCCATTTTGCACAAAAAACACACTTTCCTGATATTATTCGACTTGGATATCAGAAGACAAAGGTCCACTCTTAAGAAGTCCATACTGTATGTGTCATGCATGCAGGACAGTAAATATAATAATTTATCAGCAGGGATGTTTGATTGCACTTGAAGAATTATGAACACCAATGAATCACTCTCTGATCGGTCACAGAATCAAATCAAATCCTGAAATACAATCCTTTAATGCAGAAATAAAAAAATAACAATATATTTATCTCAATGACCATTTCTGTTCAAAAATGTAAATACAATGTGTATTTAAAAATAGCCTGTAAAAGGTGTATTTTATTTTGTTTATTGCTTTTTTTTTTTACTTTCGCCAGACGTATTACAGTTCCTTCATCAGTGTGATTGTATTTTGCAGGTTGAACATTTGGGTGAATACAACCTTCAATCCTGTACTTGTGTCTGTTATGCCTACCTTTCTGTCCTCCCTCAGACTTGCTGTGCAGTGCCTCCTGCTAGCCTGAGAGAATGTCCCTCGCTCTTTGATGGACACCAAGGCTGGTGCTTGTAGTTTAGATCCGGGTGTGTGAGGCTTATTGCTTTGACAAGTCTCTGTCTCTGAGGTCCCGGGCTTTCTGACTGCTTTAACCCTGTGATCCGGAGAAGCAGCTGTTCTTCTGGCTGACAGTCCCACAATAAAGGCTAAACAGACAGAAAAGAATAAGAAAGATAAAGAGGCAGGAGTGGGGTTCTAACAGTTCAGTTCTTGGAAGCATTTACCACAAATATTGATTTCTGCCACTTTCCCTCTCCCCATCCCCGTCCTTGACTCTTTTGTTTAATCATATCAGATTCAGAGGCCTGTTCAACATTGATATAATTGAATGCCTGAGACAAAGCTGCCAATTTATATATAAGGCATTTTCTTTTTGTAAATCCAATGTTAGCATGTTAGAGCCCTTGAGTTTAAATTGATCTGACAGCGTCAATGTATTTTTGAAGATGAATCTGAAAGGAAAATGGAAAATACTTTGATTAGCTCTGGCTTAAGATTGCAGTCGGTTTACAGTGACTGACTACTTTAATATGACTACTCATTATTCAGTTCATTGGTTTATCTATTTGTGGTTTTTTTGGCTGTTTGCCATTTAAAAGGAATTTTTTAATTTGCCCCCATTATGCCAATGCCAAAACATGTACTTACAAAGGGTTCCATCTACCTCCTGGTTAATTATATGGTAAAAGATACAATACGTGTAGGTCAAAACTTCTGCATCAAGCTTTCAGGTCTTACGGTATAGAACTCATCAGCTGTACATGTCACCATAATAAGCTCAATCACGGAGTGCAGGATTGAGTATTATAAAGTATAATTGGAGGTTGTGGTTTTGAGTTATAAACACAGTAGGACTTAATGATCCTCCATAGACTTTAATGGGATATATACAACTCATAATAACTGATCGAGGTTTGACCCGTATCTCATGAAAGAGATATAAATACAATGGGTGGCTATGGAATTGGTTTTAAAAACTAACAACTCAAAAGGTATGTCATCTTTAGTCTTATATAGCATAGTTTAGTATAGTATAGTGTTTTTCAGCAATATCTCGTTTGAAATGCAAACATATCAAAATGTTATGAAAACATTGGTTACAACATACAATTAAATATATAGTGATATATATGCTGTACATGTGGCATAAATGATTATTTACATTGTGCTTTTACTTATATTTATTACATTTAAATACTTATAACAGGTCACCTGAAGCTTGCATGAGATTGATAAACCTTATTTTCTTTGAACTAGACCTGCGCTGTAACTCCTTATTTATGGATAGAAAAGAAAGGCAAGGCTCTTTCCTCAATGGTTTTGTGGAGAATTTCAGTATTAAATGCATTATTAGTAGGATTAAATAACACCCCTAGTGGTGAGTAGAAATGTCACAATAATAAATATGTTGGTCACAATATGTTTCCATATGGAATGTATTATGTTTATAATATCCTCACTTATAGAGGATATTATATGTTACAGTATATTAACTCATTGAATGTATTAGATTATAGAAGTATAGTCACTGTAGGTATTAAAACACTAAGTCTTGAGGGTCAGATAGGGATTCTGAGTGAGGTGTCAGACATGCAGCAGCAAATGGAGGCGACCTCATCGATGGAGGATGGGACCAGTGGGACGGTCAAATGCCAAGCTGACCAGCAGGACAGAGAGGAGTCCAAGATGTTTTGCGAGGAGCCAAGATGTTTTGCTAAAGGATCGATCCAGGGAGGGGACAGGATTCAAATGGAGCCAATCACTGATCAACGGAGGATCATTCACATGTTTTATGACAGTATCGGACACTTTCCGACTCTCAGGTGATACAAAAGACAATGTTTTAGGGAGTTTACCTCAGATCACTGCAGCTCTCATTTTCAGCTAACTGGCCACGCCAGACTGTGAGGAGATGCGTGTATGTGGTCTCTGCTCTCGAGAACATTACTATTGATAGTTAATTCAGTTTGTAAGTGAACTTTGTGTAGTACATTAAATATTGTTTTTAATTTTGAACCGGATCCAGCTTATTCTTCTGATGCACGTGCGCAGTAAGAAGCTCGCAGCAGAAGTGTACCTGCAGCCTGCAGGCTCTCTCATCCTTTGTTCTTAAAAACCTAACAGTTTGGACAGATGAAAAAGAAAGAAAAAAAACCTCAGTTATAAGAGTTTCTGTGGTCTTATGTTAATCTTCAACCTATAGAGAAGTGCATTATTAAAGCCCTTACACCCATCTTTGGTTTGCACAAAGCCCGAGCGTGATCTTGTTGAGATGGGGATTTGGAGAAGAGAGTTGTATTTGTTATCCCAGATGATTCCGTGTGGGTTTTGTCTTCTTCTCTCGGCTCTCTCCATCTAGACAATGTAGGCCCAGTACTGAGATGTCACAGTGTATTTCTCCAGCTTTTTTCTCGGAGTTGTGGATTGGCTCAGGGTGGCTTAAGATCGTCTAATCCTAGCTGACAGTTAAGTAATTATTGTGGAGGCAGGCTTTGCCCAAGACACTGTGTATTGAATGAAGGCTGTGGTAGCTATTGACAGGAGACAGGGGAACTCTATTTTTCAGTAGTGTGAGCCAGCTTTGGTAACGTGAGAAATTGGACACTTCAGGCTAAACCCACCTTGGCCAGTTTAAAGTTTGGCCATTTGTTGTGGATCAAATATTGTCATGTGTAAAGAGGCTGGTTGAACTGTATCTGCTTATCTCCATATAAAGCAAACAAAATCCTCAACAAAAACAGAAATTGCTTTGGTAGAATATAGTTCTAACTAAACCTCTGACAGATGTGTGAATACTACAGTGTTATGTAGATAAAACAAATATCTAGATAAGCACATTGTTGTTGAATTGTTTAGTTAAAAAATGTTAGTACTCTGAGCAAAAACTCTGGGAAAAAAAAGATTGTGTTATTCATCTGACTTCACACAATAACACCAATAAACTAACCAACAGAGGCAGCTGTAGACCAGCAATCCTGTTGTTCTGCAAGGTAAAAGTACAGTTTTTTGAAAATGGAGTCTGGTGGCTTTGGGGAGAACATATTTAATTTATATATTACAGCTTCAGTTCCCCCTGAGTAAACGACTGTCTTATGGCAATGTAAACCAGCAAAAATATTCGAAATATTGCATACAGTATAACTTAATCTAATGTTGATGTTTTTGGTGGAGCCTTTCATTTAGGTGGCTGAAATACATCTTGAAATACGCTGACTTCCCATCCACAGCTGTACATTGCTTTTCTTCCATGCAGTAACTCCTGTCTGCTTCTCCAAGCATGGATAAGTGAATCATCCAGCCTCACTTTCAAAAGACCCAAACTATCTTTTCAACCATGCTTCATTTATAATGAGGACTTGTATTTTTTTGTTTCCATAAAAAATGTTAGCAGTTAACGGTGAGCATACATGTTGAATGTGGATGCATTGAAAAAAGTAGCTTATCCTTGGGGCAAGCACAATAGGTAAATATGACTGTAATTCATAAATGTGGTTGCTGGAAGCAAATACTTTCAGGTCTGATTTACAGTTCAACAGGTCTCTGCATGTGAGACTAGGTTATGGTTTAGACCCAGAATGCAGTGTCACGTCCTGCCTCGGCAGTGCATATGCATGATTTAATGTTTCAGATGCCAACTCTGACAAAATGAAAGGAAGATAGGACTCTGTAATAGATCACTGGATCCTGTCAATGTAATATTAATATGAGATCTCCTATGGAATATTGAAACATGACTTATTCCATTTAAATGCAGATAACAATCTCACATTGTTCTCGATAAGCAGCTGCTATAGCTGCCCCAGACCTGTTCTCTGTGCAACTTTACTTTTGCACACACTGTATATTCATCAAAAATTACAGGTCTTCATGTCAGTTTTATGGGGCGGATATGGAATAGGGTATGCATAATTTCAAACACTGCATCTCCTCCTAATATGATTATTTATCCTCCGCTTTTGTCTGCTTTCCAGGCCGGGTGATATTTCAATTATAAATCATGAATGCACCCGACTCCCTGAATAATGTGCCCACCAACAGAGGGGCTGTGTATTTATAATGGAGACTCATAACACCACGCTTGCTTGCCCTTGTGTTCAGGTAAAGGTTCTCCCCATATCATAGATCACATATATGGCTGTCAGCACTTGGGAGCTAAAGAGCTTTGCCTCCTCCCACAGGCCATATTGTGGGTGCAAAAGTGTCAGTTAAGGCTGAATGATTGCATAGATGCAATTTGATTTAAGGTTATTTTGTCTCCTGAGTTGGCACATGCCATCAGTTGCTGGTGGTGGTCAGCTATTTACTTCATGTTCTTTGTTATCTGCTCTGGATCCGGTGAGGACATTTCCTGAATTGAACTGAACCATCCTCAAATTAAGGTGTCATGTTGCGTCAATAGAAGTTCAGGCAGCTGTCATGCCCTTCATATTCTCATAGAGTGGCTCTTTATGGCTAATCACTGCCAATCAATTCTAAAGACTATTCAACCGCAGGCAAAGAAAGCTTATCTTCTCAGACAATGAGTCTCTGATTTAGAAAACAGAGTCTTCCACATGGACACAATGCCTGTCAAATCTCAATAGAGCATATTGAAATGAAATTCAGATTTTATTTTCTTCCTCCACTTTCCCACCCCTGTTGTTTTTGTGATGCCAGGAATGATGTATGTGTTAGAGTAAGAGTGTTCAAGTGAGTAGACGTTTTTGAGTTTGAGGCAGACTCCCGATGAGTGCAAGCCTTTGTTCTCCTGAAAGGAACATGATGGGGAGCACTTATTTTTCTCCTATTCTCTCTGTGCTGCCTGTCAGCGTTGACTGGGGGCTGCTTACTGAGTTTGCCCGAGCCTAACTTCTTCTCATTGGCAGGCATCACACCTTCCTCTTCACTGGAGCCTTTACTTCCCCTGCTTTATGCAGCCCATGCTGGCTTTAACACATGAACAGCGGTCCATGCTTTGAAGGGAATCCTAAATGCAGCAGCTCAGTACAATCAGAAGAAAGAAATACAGAAGAAGAAATAAATACATTTCCTTCTTTAGTATAGTGCGTAGAGTAGAGAGATGACAGGAAATAAGGAGAGAAAGACACTTAAATGCAACAAAGAAGAACCACTGGACTTGAGCCATGGACATTGCCATTATACAAGCACTTTGAGTCCTGGCGTATGTGCTAAATAAATAAAACGGGATTACATGTTCAACATCTTAACAAGAGTGAAGTCAAACAGTAAGAGGAACCAAGTGGGTTGGAGGGTGGTCCAGTAACCCTGTGAATATAATGGTATACCAGCTTCAGCAGGTCGATAGATATCCTGGGAATGTTTCCAACCAGTAGCCTCACTGGTCAGGCTCCAATTCGCATAGGCCTACTAATGTGTACATACCAGGTGTGCCGGTGAACACTACGGTGTAACATATCTGTGTTTTGACCAACAACACGTTTTGACCAACAACACGTCTATAACCTGGTCTGTTACCAGTGACGCAATTTAGCGACAAATAAAGCAGATCCAGTGGCAATGACTGAGTAAATGAGTAAAGCCTTGGTCTTCAGAACAAACTCAAAACTTTGGTATGCACTTGTGTGTTGAACATGGCTGCTGTTTTGTATTGTATTGTTGGTTCACATGTACACCAATGTGAAGCAAGAGTTGTGTTTGGACTCAATTTAGCATTTATATTGAGGGGAACACATTTTCCATCTTTAATAGGGATTTGACATGACAATTATGGAATATTTTTGTCCTAAACCACCCGGCCACCAGGACTTGATTAATCGAATACATCTATTCCAACCCATCTCCAGTTACACGTTTGTCAGAATGAATTGTGATACATTTGTTGTATTTTATAGATAAATATTTGCTGGCACTACATCACAAACCTCACTCATTTCTGTCCTCAGCTATTGTCATAATATTCTGAATTGCAATTCCGTGTGACTTTACTCACTCAATAGGACATCATGTTCATGTTAACCTATTTATTTCTGTAAGGGGGTTAGTCTGTTTTGCCAAAACGAATCAGTAGTAATTGATGTAAATGTCCCAGCAATGTCATTTACCATCAACCTAGAAGCTGGGGTAGTGGTTGATCGGAGCAGTTCACATTTTTCACCACAAAGAACAAAACATGACGATTTAAAGCTAGGGTTGGTAATGTTGAGAAACTAGCAAGAACACGCTAGATTTTAAGAATTGTCCAACCAAAAAAATCTGCCCAGTGTTGCCAACGCTTCTTCAATGACAGTAGCTAGCAGCATTATCCACCCAATCTAGCAAACAATTTGCCAAGTCGGCAACATTAACAGACCATCCCTTCAAAGCCACTCCCCTAAAATGA